TTAAGCAGGGTAAGGGTAGGGGCCTGAAGCGACACTCACTCAGGCACCCGGACACGGTTCCCCCAGCGCTAAAGAAATTGTTTTCTGGTCTCCGCTTGATTCTCTTGCCGTTTCGAGAGTAAAAGCTAGCTGACACCTTAAAGTTACTTATATATTCTTTACGTTTAGTCAAAAGGTTCTTAAGGTATCATCTGCTAAAAAACGTGATGAGGCTTTGAATTGTTCAATAGTAGCGGTGCGCCAGGCCACGCGCGCGGGGCCAGAAGTCTGGTTAATGTTCCAGCTACACATGAATTGTTCCCGAAAGCGGGCCGGGCAAACTGTAGCTAGTCTGGGCAAACGCGGCAAACTTTGCAGTTAATGTGAGCGTATAATCAAGCGGCGAGGCGGGCGCGGCGCGGCGGGGGAGTGTAAGGCGAGTGAAGCTTCGCCGCGAATTTTAATTTCGTCCTGGAGTGGGTCGTCCGCGCGTCGGCCGCCCCACGCCGCCCCCCGCGGCCCCCCACCGCGGGCCTCCAACAAGGCGCTGCTCGCCACCCCTTACATCCCCCGCGACCCCCACCTCACCCGAACCCACCTCTGCCTTCGACTACTTGTTAATTATTTTCAGGTCACACCGCGGGAAAACAATCCTATTGTCTCTACGGCCGGGCCCCCAAACCCTGGCCTGGCGCCCCCTCTATCCTCGAGTCCGACGGAAATTGGGAGCCCTTCCGGACGGCGCGGGCGCTTTTGTTTTAATATAAATAGCTTTTTAGCGCCGTTTCTTTGGGAAAGGGGTTCGTCCCGCTCACAGTGTAATGAGAGTCACTGACGGCGCCCTCAAAGAGGACGGGGGACGCGCCGGGCCAGGGCGAGGTTAAGTGGGACGTCAGGGGAGGCTCTGATCATTTCCTTCATTAGGATTCTATTTTATTTTTTTGGAGTGGGCCCATCGGAAAAGCAATTGATAAGTCGAGCAGAGATTTTGATTGCCGGTCGCTCAGCTTATCTCAGAAGGTAAAGGACTTTCATCGGGAAGGTGTAAATCTGAAATCCTAAACCAGAGCCCTACAACGGGGTGAGGTATAGCTTCAGGGATGTTGGACGTGGGCTCAGCGTACACAGTCGGTTAAACTATACTCGACTCGTTCACTTCCTCCTCGGCGCCGCGGCGGCAATCTTGACTTACAACGCCGGTGTGGGCCGCAGTCCCGCCGGAGAGGGGAGAAGTTGAGTTGAAGACCGCCAGGCCGGGTGGGCAGCTTGCCGCCCGTCCCGATAGGCAGCAGCCTCGGCAGCACTACTGTTACCAACAAACT